TGAAGGATCAGTACACCTAAGAAATTCTTATTTTTCACTGTGGTAAAATAATACATACCTTTAGTACACTAGTCCATTTTCCCCTTTATTTTCTCTTTTTCTTTTTCTTTTTCTTTTTTTTTTTTTTTTTTGAGACACGGTCTTGCTATGTCACCCCAGCTGGAGTGCAGTGGTTTAATCATAGCTCACTGCAGCCTTGACCTCCTGGGCTCAAGCAATCCTCCCACCCCAGCCTCCCAAGTAGCTGGGACTACAGCTGCACACCACCACTCCTGTAAATTGTGTAGAGATAGGGTCTTGATATGTTTTCCAGGCTGATCTCCAACTCCTGGGCTCGAGTAATCCACTCACCTGAGCCTCCCTAAATGCTGGGATTACAGGTATGAACCACAACACCCGGTCCCATTTTTTTTTTCTTATTGCAAAATCATTCTGTTGTCATTGTAGAAAAATCATAAAATACATCTTCGTTAAAAGGAGGAATATTAAAACAACTTGAAATCCCATTTCCCAAAGAGAACTCCTATTAATACCTTAATGGATGGTGTTTTAAACATTTTCCACCTACACACGTCACCACCTCACACCGAACTCCAGCGGGCGCCCTGTCACCCTCCACCCTGTGGGGAGCCCCGCCCTATGTGCTGTGCATGTATATATATTTTTTTAATTAGCAAAAATGGGATAATCTCATTTATTTATTTATTTTATTATTTTTTGGTGAGACGGAGTCCCACTGTCGCCCAGGCTGGAGTGCAGTGGCACGATCTTGACTCACTGCAACCTCCACCCCCCAGGTTCAAGCGATTCTCCTGTCTCAGCCTGGTGAGTAGCTGGGATTACAGGCCCCTGCCATCATGCCCAGCTAATTTTTTGTATTTTTAGTAGAGATGGGGTTTCACCGTGTTGGCCAGGCTGGTCTTGAACTCCCGACCTCAGGTGATCCGCCTGCCTTGGGCTCCCACAGTGCTAGGGTTACAGGCGTGAGCCACCGCGGCCAGCCTCATTTATTTCTAGTAAGAAATAAAATAATGGTTAAAAATTACCGGGCATACCTGGTTATAGATGCTTAACACTCCCTTGGTTCATTCACAAATATTTACTGAAGACCTCCTCTGTGCCAGCCACTGTGCTAGATAGACCTGGGGATACAGCAGTGAACACAACAGACAAAATTGTCTCACAGCAGTGAGCCGAGATCACGCTACTGCACTCCAGCCTGGGCAACAAGAGCAAAACTCCGTCTCAAAAAAAAAAAAAAAAAAAAAAAAAAAATTCAAGAGGTTCGGAACCTCTGAAACGTCCTTCCCACTGAATGAGTGTTCCCTTTGTCGGTCCCTGACCTGGGCCTGACCGAGGCCTGGCATGGCCTCAGTTCCCAAGCCCCACTTCCCCTGGACTTGCCTGTGGGACTTAACAGTATCAGGCTCTGCCTCAGAAAACTTGAGAGATGACACCTATGACCACCACCCTCACACCTTCATCAGCTGCCACCATCCCAAGCGACAGAAAGCTTCAGCTTTGTATCTGTGGCAAATGTGAGAAGCCCTAGTGCATCATCTCTTGCCA